TAATTTGTCTTCCAATTCCTCGAGTTCGATGGCAGTCATGGTTTGGTGGTGCCGAGTGGGTCGTAGCAGGGGTTTCACAGTCGGTTTCTTTATTAGTGGGTGTCAGAGTTGCAACAAGTTCGTTGCAACAAGTTGCTATTAAAATCTCATTACAGCCAATAGCAGCGTTTCGTTTAAAAATATACTGTGAAACACCCAGCAGCAAGTTCAGACGACAAGTTGCAACATCATGGTGAAGATCAGCGAGCGTGTACACTTGTTGCGGAATGCAACAGCTCAATTGGAGCGTCGCTTGTTCATGAGATTGTGCCGAGAATTGCTCGACAACGAGGACAGCGACGAAGACGAGTTAGACCAACAATGTTTGCAACTACTCCATGCCATTGAGCGGCAACGGTATTCTGTTGTGAGGCGCAACGACCCGTTCAAGCGAACCCGGTTCCACCACTTCCTTTTTGAAATCAAGGATACGAGATTCCGCAAGCTGTTTCGTATGGAACGTCGCTCCTTTCACAGCATTTTGGCTCTCATTGACAAGCAGCCCACGTTTCGTTCCATTCATGGCAAAGTCACCAAAGCCCCCGTTGCCCACCACTTGCTCGTGTTTTTGTATTACTTGGGCGCTAATGGCAACGCCGTGTCCAACGAGCACCTTGCGTCATTTTTTGGAATTGGTGCCGGAACGGTCAGTCTGTTCATTCGCCGTGTTACGGACGCAGTTGTGCTGCTTCGTGACCAGTTCATAGGTTGGCCAAACCGTGACGAATCACTTGCAATCGCCGGAGAGATCCAATCCATGTGTGGCTTCTCCAATTGTGTTGGGTTTATCGATGGCACTCTCTTTCCGTTTGAGTTCAAACCGACCTTGCATGGTGAAGACTACTACTCGCGCAAGGGGTGCTACGCTGTTGCTGCTCAAATTGTTTGTGACCACCGTGCCATTATTCGTGATATCTACACCGGTTGGCCTGGATCTACTCACGACAACCGACTTTGGCGGAACAGTAAATTGTTCATCCATGCCAGGCAGTATTTTGATCGGAGTCAGTTCTTGTTGGGCGATTCGGCTTACCAATTGTCGTCCTGTTTGGTTCCGGCATTCAAAAATCAAACCCATCAAGTCATGGAGCATCATAAGTCGTGGTTTAACTCGCATATCGCCAAAGGACGAATCAAAGCTGAGCACTGCATTGGAATGCTGAAGGGTCGTTTTCAGTATTTAAAACGCATTCGCAAAGTTATGGACGGCAAACCAGCAATGGCTTCCATTATCAAAACAATTCTTGCTGCTTCGATCCTCCACAACATCCTGGTAACCGAGGATGATATTGTCCCTGCGGCTTGGATCGAGCTCCAAGTCAACTGCAATTGCAATGCTGATCTCCGTGGGTGTCGTGTATGCTTCCCCCCAAACACCATCGAGCCCACCGATGATATCGAGAGCGCCGACAAACGCAGCATCGTACTCAACCAACTACTCATTGAGACTGGCTACCCTTTTTAACACGAAAGCATTTCCATTTTTTGCATTTATATAGTTATATTGGACACGCCATGTCGATGTCGGCGTCACTCCACCCGCGCTCTTTGAGATCTTTTCGTGTTTGGATCTTTTTGATACGCGCATCCACTGCCGCTGCTTCTCGCGCAAGCTCAAACTTCCAATGGGCTTCGTCAGCCTGGATTGTCAAAAGGCGGACGTTGAGCTTCGTCTCCTCCGCCAACCTTGCTTCACGTTGCATGTCCACTTGGAGCTTTCGCTCCTCCACATCACGGGTGAACTCCAACTGCTGTCGTTTCAGTGCGTACGCACGCGCATTGATCTCTGTCCAATCATCCAACTTCGCAGCCGCCGCAGTCCGTTTCTTCGAGGCGCTTGATGGTGCTTCCGGCGTTGATGGCACGTCTTCATCGCTGGACGCTTCGTTCATGTTCTCGCTCGTCACGATAGGGGCTGTAGATGCGCGATCACGCATGACCTCGTCCAAACTGTAGTAGTACGGACAAAGACGTTGTACCTCCTTTCGGATGCTGTCTTCGTCCACAATGCCTTGCCCGGTGTTGGCAAGCCAGTCGCATGCTGTCCGGTACGAGCGCTCGACATCCCCAATCTTTTGGACAACGTCCTTTGTGGTGCGATGGTGTATGCCGTTGTTGGCGAGTCGTTCCACAACTTCAGCTGCCAGGGAGGCCTTGGTGGAGCCACTGTGTTTGTCGCCACCTTTCCATCGAACATAGTTCGTCTCGACCGACATCCACGCGATCACGACGTCCATGCTGGACTTGCCATCGCCAACACTATCTTTGGTCCAGAGAACTCTCTTTGATGGCGTTCGATCAGCGAGGTCGACTCCTTTCGAGGGACGTGACTTGCGCGGCGGCATGTTGAGAACGTTGTAGCTTCAGCTGTGTGCGGTGAGGATGCGGCTAAGATAGCCCAATCGCTGTCGAGATCCTCTCAAAGGCCATGCGCCGAAATCGAACATTTTACCTGCCAGAGTTATTACTTGCCGACTTGTGAAGATTTTCTGACAAGTCGCGGGCGCCTCGGCAAGTTGCGCTGTGTCCATTTCGACCAATGGAATCACAGTTTGCTACTTGTTGCCATGAACTTGTTGCAACTCTGACACCCACTATTATCTGGAGGTTTCTACAAAAGCAACCAGGATGAAACTGTTCGTGGCAGTTACACCGATGAAATCCTCCTTGATATACGATATCATGTATCA